GCCAATAGGTCCTGAGCAGGATAAATAAAAATAAAGTCACATTTAGATACACTGTAGGAAAGCTTCAGATTCCCCCAAACAGAGAGAAAAAAAGAAAAAAAAATGTCAAAACGAAATAATAACTACATTAATAGTGGACGTCTTATTGGCAAGAAAACATGTCAGAACACAATGGGTTTGTCTTTATTAGTAGTACGTCTCTTCAAATTGCTGAAGGAAATTAACTGTCGGCTTGAATCCTATACAAATCTAACTTTGATTCCAAAGGAAAGACAAAGTAAACACATTTATAGACAAAAATTGAAAGGGATTACTACTAAGACACCCTTACAAAGAAGCTTTAAAAGGATTTTTTTAGGAAGAAAAAAGAATACAGAAGGAAGATCTAATATGCAAGAAAGAATTTTGAGCCAAGAAAATGGGAAACTTCTGTTTAAACCTAAATTAATGTAGACAGTATAAAACAACAAATAATGGCTAACTTCTCATGTTTAAAAAATGAGATTGAGCTGAAATACTAGAAGGAAGAGCATATAAATAGGAAGCCAGGAAGGAAAGGGAAAGCAACTTCGTGCTCTTTGATCACTGGTCAGAATGGTAAGAATACGGATAAACATTAGGCTTGGTTAGCTTATATGTTAAAATGCTTAGGTTAACTTCTAAATGAATAGAAACAGTGTTTATAACTTCCAAATAAATACAGAGAAAATGGGAATAAAAAAATCATTTAATGCAAAAGAAGGCAGGAAAGAGAGGGGAGAAAATATAGAAGGAAGAGACAAATATAAAATAATTTTCTCCATAAGATAAAATATTTTTAGTTTAGTGAACATTGTCTTCTAGCACAGAGACACTAAAAAATTTATTCACTGGGAAACTTATTCCTTTCTAGTCTTCAGATCGCTTAAAGTGATTTATACCTATATAGGAGATCGTTTTTTTCTTTTTTTCTTTCTTTTTTTGTTTTGTTTTGTTCTCTTTTTTTTTTTTTTTTGAGACAGAGTCTCGCTCTGTCATCCAGGCTGGAGTGCAGTGGTGCTATCTCTGCTCACTGCAACCTCCGCCTCCCGGGTTCAAGCAATTCTCCTGCCTCAATCTCCTGAGTAGCTTGGATTACAGGTGCACATGCCCATGCTGGGCTAATTTTTGTATTTTTAGTAGAGATGGGGTTTCACCATGTTGGCCAGTCTGGTCTCAAACTCCTGACCTCAAGTCATCCACCTGCCTTGGCCTCCCAAAGTGCTGGGATTACAGGTGTGAGCCACCATGCCTGGCCCTTTTTTTTTTTTTTAAACTGACTTTTCCTCTGTCCCCTCATTTTTTTTCTAGCTCTTTTCCTTCTTCCATCTGTTTATCTATCTGTCCACCTACTAATAACTACCTATTTATCTATCTATCTGTCCATTCATCCATCTGTGCAGTCATCCATCCATCCATCCACTTTACTGTCTATACCCCAACCCTCTTTCCTTCTAAACACCTACCCTTATCATTATGCTCCCGCCTATCTATCTGTTCTTTCATTCATTCACTTTATAACCAAAATCTTTTTTTCCAACCCAGACCTCTCTCGAAACCCTGCTACTTGACATCTCCTTAGACATTTCATAGGTGCCTCAAACTTCACATGTCCCAAACACAACCCTTGGTTCCATCCCTACACAAAGTTTCCCTCCCCAAGCCTTCACCATCACAGCAAGTGGCACCATCAACCATTTAACTGCTCAGCTAAAAACCTAGGAGTCACCTTGATGATTGTTTATCTCATGCCTCACATTCCATCATCAGCAAGTGTTGTCAGATTCTACCCTGAGTCTGATGGTGTCTTGCCATCTCTACTGCTACTATCCTCTGTCCACACAATCAGCTTTTCTTTGAAACCACTGGAATAATCACATAGCCACCATGCACCCTGCTCTTCTGACTATCCTTTTCCACAGCTGCCAAAGTGATCTTTTCAGTATGAATCAGAACATGTCATCCCCTTCCTAAAAGCTTCTGTGGCTTCCCATTGTGTCTAGAAATAAACAGAAAATCTCCACTATGACCCACGTGGCTGCTAGGATCTGACATCTACTCAGCCTCTGACCTGGTCTTCCTCTGCATGCCATTTAATTCCTTTGACACCAGCTCCACTGGCCGCCTTTCCTGTTCCTCTAACACACCCAGCTCGTGTCTGACTCAGCCCTTTAGATCTGCTGTTCCCTCCTCCAGACCTGCAAGATCAGGTCTCTGCTGAAATGTCACATCCTCCAAGAGACGTTGCCTGAGCATGCTGTTTTATGTTCATCTGAACACTTATTTTTCAGCATTTGAAGTTATCTTTTTAAAAAAACAGTTCATTGTGCCTCTTGAGGGCAGGGACTTTGTTTATTGTTATATTCTCAGGGTCTATACATATGCCTGGATCATAGTAGGGGCTCAGTTATTGTTTGTTGAGTGACTGTTTGGCATTAATTAATTAATTTCACAACTTGGAGTGGAATTCACCATCTACATTGATATGAAAAATGACTTAAATCCCTATGCTATATCAAATTAAGGCAGATAATCAGCCAATAAAAATGCACTTGCCACAAATTTGACCAATCAAAGGTTAATTACTATGTAAAGAGTTATTACAAACTAATAAAAAGAACACTAACACACCAGTTAAGGGGCATTATAGTCCAGGCAGGACCCCACCTACCAGAGCTAACCAGCATTTGCACCTCCTCAGTCATGGTTTTGAGGTCTCCTGCCTCCTTAGGATTATAGGGGACCCAGCATCTCTCTTGGTGTCAGAAAACAGGAGGTGATCCTCCAATATCATGCAGACACACTTACAGTCCTCATGGACCCTTTGAAAACAGCCCTTCGATTTTCTTTTTGCCAAGCTTGGGCATAAGGCTTATTTGTGTTAGGCCATGCTGCCATCTTGGGAGAACCCTTCAGAAGTCTCCATCCCTTCACACAGCACTGCATGAGAGTGGGCATGGGATGCCATCCTTAAGAACCACCGCATTCCACTCCAAGTCATGAGGAAGAGTGCTCCCTTCACTCTTTGCTAGATCAGTTCTGCCTGCCTTCCCACGCAGTGTCGGCCTTCCTCGGTCAACCTTGTTGAGAAAAGACTCCTGAATGCTCTGCACAGAAACTCGGGCTGAAGTTTTGCACTTTGAGAATTTTTTGACCACTCTCAGATGCTAGAAAACCTAGGAACCCAGACTCAACACAGATTCTTCATGGAGTGAGAAGGAAAGACTGTGACACTTGTCCTAAGTCTCCTTCCTAAGCAAGAACAAGGCAGATGTTAGTAACACGAATGATTATTATTTTGATATATGTCCTTTGCCAAATAGAATTACTCTGATATATGTAAATAAATATTCTCCTTTTTCTAAGTAGAGAAACCATCAATAATTACCAGATTTTTTATTTCTCAAATTACAAAATACTTAATAACTATTCTATTTTATATCAGTGCAAAACACAGGTAAGAACTGGACATTTGTGGAGGGGCTATATATAGCATTCGTTAGGTTCATTTTTTTTTGTTATACTTTGCAAAACTAAGTTAGTGCATGTGAGGATTTATTTATTATTGCAAGCAAATCAACTTAAGTATTACAAACAATCTAATCACTGTCTTATTTTGAAAGCATTAAGATAACTTACATTGCTAAGCATTCTATTGATCTTTTGTTATTTGTCTTGTATTTTCAAATGATTATATTTCCCTGCAAACAGTGGAAATATCAATGAGAAATAAGATGTCCTTTCATCAATGATGTAGATTATTTTGTTTCCAAATATTCACAGATTATGCTTACATATGTTTCGTTATTAATATTCTGAAGTCAGTCTGTTCTCCAATAGTTTTTTTATTAGAAAGGAAAATATTTCACATCAAACATTTTAATAATATTGTGAATCAAATTTAAAATATTTTAAAAATGTGATAAAGTACCAATAGTGACATCTAGGTCGGGCGTGGTGGCTCACGCCTGTAATCCCAACACTTTGGGAGGCTGAGGTGGGTAGATCACGAGGTCAGGAAAGATCAAGACCATCCTAACTAACACGGTGAAACCCTATCTCTACTAAAAATGCAAAAAAATTAGCCAGGCGTTGTAGCACATGGCTGTAGTCCCAGCTACTCAGGAGGTTGAGGCAGGAGAATTGCTTGAACCCAGGAGGCAGAGGTTGCAGTGAGCCAAGATCATGCCACTGCATTCCAGCCTGGGCGACAGAGCAAGACTCCATCTCAAAAAAAAAAAAAAAGGTCATCTAAATTGATATAAAAATGACTTAAATCTGTATAAATCAAAGTAAGGCAAATAATGAGCCAATAAAAATACCTTTGCCACAAATTTGACCAATTAAAGATTATTATGATTACTATATAAAGAGTTATTACAAAATAATAAGAAGAGCACTAACACACTAATTAAGGGGCACTAGAGTCCAAAGATTAAGAGCTCAGGCTCTGGAGTTAGAGCTGGGTTCAAATCCAGGCCCCGTCACATTCTGTGTGATGCTGGACAAGACTCGTATCATCCATCTACCTCTTAAGAGTTCTAATTTCTAATACGGAGATAATAAGCATGACTGCTTGCAATGTAATTGAAAAGAGTAAGTAAGATCATACATGAACAACTCTTGGTGCCAATTACTGTTACTCAGTACTTACTATTATTTTGCCAAAAGATATGAATAGGCAGTTTGCAAAAGAAGAAATACAAATGACTAGTAGACATAAGCAAAAAGTTAATCTCCCTAGTAATCAGTTAGATACAAATGAATACAGCAATGGGAGGCCATTTTTTCCTAGGGAATTTGTGTTTTAAAATATATTCTAGTTCTCGATCATGATATATGTGGTGAGTTCTGGAATGAATATAAATTCAGACACTTTTTTCCAGAAGGCAGCTAGGCAATTTTTATCTAGTGCTTTAAACATTTTCATAGCCTTTGACCAAGGCTTCAGCTATTATTCTACTCCAGCAGGCATTACTCACATTGTAGTTTGAACTGGGGCTCCTGGCAGCAACATTTATGTAGAATACACTGTGTTTGGTGGCTCCTAGCGTTGTGCAGCTGGTGCCCCTGCCACTGATGTGTTTAATTTACAGCAATCAAGCCTAAGAAAATAAACAGAAAGGCACATATAGATAGATTTATGTGTAAGGATGTTGGTCCAAGAGTAATTAAAAAAAAAAGCCAAAAACTGTGAAACAACCTAAATTTGAATCAATGGAGGAATAACAACATGAATTATTGTAGATTAATGGAAAGGAATTTTATATTGCCATTAAAAGTCACATTAGAAATCTATAATGACATGGAAAATAATTGTACAAGTTCATTCCAAAAGGAAAGTAGCTTTATTATTGCCTCCAACTAGAAAAGTAAAATGTACTCATTTAAAAAATTACACAATCTAGAAAAACTAAATAAAGTAGACACTAATAATCTTAACATTCCAAAATAGACATTTTTTATATAGGTCCTAACAAACATTTTCCACATGAATGTTCATATTGATATGTAAGGTAAACTGCAAAAATCAGGCTGCTAAACTGCTAATTCCCAAGGCGGGGAAAAGTACCAAAGTATTTTTTCATGGTGGAGGGAATATGGATGATTTCTTTTTTGTCTTACTTATCTCTTTTTTTTGCCTCTAACATGTCTACAGTAAGCATGAATTACTTTATAAGCAAAACATCTTAAATAGCATAAATGCTGTAAATGACTTTTTCTTACTTAAATTATGACTATGTCTTTCAGTGCTCTGAAAGACAGAATATTTTTTGAAAAGACAATATTCCTTTTGCAGAATGAGAACTCACACTCATTAATCATTGTGCCGTCTTCCTCTTAAGGAAAACCTGCAAATGCATATGCAAATGAGCTGAACTTCTATTATAAGATGGTGACAGGATGCTCTACAGAAGAGAAGGTAATGATAGAGTTTGAAAAATAGGAATGCAGAAGAAGGTTAGCAGTGGTGGAATCTTTCTATTCAATGCCTTAAAAGAGTTGTATTAATCTGATAGTGTTCCACCTACCAATAATGAAATAAGATCATAAGCAGCATTAAAACACAAAAGCTCCTCATTGTGACATGACACACAGAGTGTAGCAGAATAGGGATATGGGGACCCAGATCAAAATGAAAAGGTAGAAAGTTGTAATATTCTTCAGACGTTTTCATAAGTCCTGTCAGATAATCCTATTTAACTACTTGACGAGTTTAGTCTGTATTACCCACATTAAACCTCCTAGGGTATTTTTATCCAATATCACACATTTGGATCAAAACTTTAAAATATCAGCTCAACGTTCAAATACTTTGTCTACACAATTACATACACTCATGCCTAAAAATACAAGTTGAGTAAACCCAATGTCCCTCAAGATCGTTAGCATTTAGCAAAGATTTAATGTCAAAAGAGGGTCTGAAGCATTAAGGTTCTTGAATATAACTGTCCCAAGGAGAATTGGAGGTAGGCTTATAGGAAATTAAATTCCTTGAACAGGATAGAAGAGAATAGAGACAGCATCCTATTGTGTTAATCCCATTTCTGCCCTTTCGTGTGGAAAATCAGGACAGCCTGCTGCCTTTAAATGGCTTGAGAATCCAGAACAAAGATAAACACTCAGCTGGATTCTACATTTCTGAAATTCTATTACAGGAAAGATTCTTGGGTTAGAGAAGGGATATATGAAAACAGCAAAGCATCATCACTGCCCTCCAGAATCTTCCCATTGTATGAGAGAGACAGGTAGGAAGGCAACTGGAAAATATGGCAGACTTTTTTTTTTTTTTTTTTTTTTTGAGATGGAGTTTTGCTTTTGTTGCCCAGGCTGGAGTGCAATGGGGCAAACTTGGCTCATCGTAACTTCTGCCTCCCGGGATGAAGCAATTCTCCTGCCTCAGCCTCCTGAGGTAACAGGCATGTGCCACCACACCTGGTTAATTTTGTATTTTTAGTAGAGACAGGGTTTCTCCATGTTGGTCAGGCTGGTCTTGAACTCCCGATCTCAGGTGATCTGCCTGCCTTGGCCTCCCAAAGTGCTGGGATTACAGGTGTGAATCACCGTGCTTGGCCTTTTTTTCTTTTTTTTTTTTTTTTGAGACAGGGTCTTGCTCTGTCACCCAGGCTGGAGTGAAGTGGCATGATCTCGGCTCACTGCAACTTTCGTCTCTCAGGTTCAACAATTCTCATGCCTCAGCCTCCCAAGTAGCTGGGTTTACAAGTGTGCACCACCACACCTGGCTAACTTTTGTATTTTTAGTACAGACAGGGTTTCACCATGTTGGGCATGCTGGTCTCAAATTTCTGGCCTCAAGTGCTCTGCTGGTCTCGGCCTCCCAAAGTACTAGGATTACAGGCATGAGCCACCACATCTGGCCCAGAATGTTTTAAGTGCGGAATTGGTGGCATTCTCTAGAGAAAGAGAACCAATAAGAGAAAGATATATAGAAGATATATGTATAGGGTATATGATATATGTAGATTAGATATAGATTAATAGGAGATACATATGTAGTCAGCTCTCCATATTTATAGGTTCCACACCCGTGCATTCAACCAACCAAAAATATTAGAAAAAATGATAAAAATTACAATACGACAATTAAAAATAATACAAATAAAAAGCAATGGAGCATAACAACGAGTTTCATAGCATTTACATAGTATAGGTATTGTAAGTAATCTAGAGATGATTCAAAGTATACAGGAGGCTATGCATAGGTTATCTGCAAATACTACACTATTTTATATAAGACACTTGGGCATGTGCAGATTTTGATATCTGAGGAGGGGTTCTGGATCCAGTCTCCCATGGATACCAAAGGACTACTAACTGTACAGGAGATACAGATAGATGATAGATAGATAGATGGATAGAAGAGATATTCATAGAAGAAATATATATAGGATATATACACACACACACAATCTACATATAAGATATGTAGTGGATATATATGATATATATTTAGGAATATTATATATGGTATATCTCATATCTCATACGTCTATATATCTCATAGATATATATATTTATATGAGAAAATATATGACTATATGAGATATACAGATAGGAGAGATTTAGTGTATGCAATTGGCTGATTATGGAGTGAGTCCCAGATATGCAGGATGACTTGGCATGTAAGAGACCCAGGAGAGCTGATGGTATAGTTCCTGTCAAGATAGCAGGCTGGAACCCCAGGAAGAGCCAATGTTTCAGTTTGAATCTGAAGGCAGGAAAACAGCTGACGATTCATTCCAAAGGCCATGAGGAAAGTTTTCTCTTACTGCCACGGGAGGGTCAGCCTTTTTGTTTTCTCCAGGCCTTCAACTGATGTGATGGGGCCCATCTACATACTGGGGGACAATCTGCGTTACTCAGTGTGCTGATTTAAATGTTAACTTCATCCAAAAACTCACAGAAACACCCAGAAATAATGTTTGACCACATACCTGGGCACCCCACAGCCCAATCGAGTTGATGCATAAAATTAAGCATCACACCTGAGTTAACCACTGTAAACATTGTGGTTTACTTAATTTTTCACCCTTTCAATGTCAGCCCGGAGGAATGGGAGTTTATGTGGATAAGGACGAAAATCTTCGGGTATAAAGAGTCAGCTAAAATACTTTTGCCTCTCTGTTTCTGCCACCGTTGAGAATGGATGGCAAGTGCATTCGTTTGTGATACCACCTCTTTCTGTCCAAGCTGAGGGTTTTATTTTCTTATATTCAGAACACATAAGAAGTTGTGAGATATTTTTCCTCCAAACCAATTTTTCTAGCTGTGGTGTGAAGTATTTCTTAGGCATAAACATCACCTTTCAACCCCATCTGAGCTGAAAATCCCATTTCTAATCTTCTTTATGACTGAGAAATGATAGAGTGGATTTGCTGGAAAACATCTGCCTCACTGACAGCTGGCTGTTCTTGTGGGAGTGATCATAAAGTAAGTGCCTATTGTTTACGCTTATTCATTGAGAAGTATATTTTAAAGATCATAATATGGACCAAAATTTGAAGAAGAATTGCCCCACATTGACTGAGAAAATTTCATGCTAATGTTAGATTTTATTCTATTTTCTCATATCATGATGTCTGTGGTTACATGATCTTGATAAGAATCTGATTCCTTCTCTTTCCTTCATGACCAGAGACAATCCTGGCAAAATCATGGAGCAACATTAGCGTTTACCATTTCCAGCCAAACTCTTCAACAATATAATCTGTTCTCTGAATCCCATCTTTCTTATCAAACCTTAGCAGCATATCAAAATCACCTGGGAATTATAAAAAACAAAGGCTGATGTTTGTTTTCTACCTTCTGCCACCCTCAGATTCTGATTTGTTTATTCTGGAGTGTGATCTGGGCACTGGGATTTCTAAAAGCCTTCTGAGTGATTCTCATGTATACCCCAAGTTGCAAACCATCGCCCTAGGACCTTTATTACTCAAAATTATTCACATCACCTCCAAGCTTGTTAGAAATTCAGGGGCCTGCCCTAGAACTGCTGGATGTGAATCTGTGTTTTAGCAAGACCAATATGTAGTTATATTAAAGGTTGTGCAGCCCTGTCCTATGTGTTGGTCCCCCTTGGAATTAAATTCAGCTTTTGGGGATAGGGAAACTCACCCATGTGAAAGTCGTTATTTTATTTAATTCCTTCAGTTCCCCAGAGGTGATTAAATTATAGCAGATGCTCACTGTATTGTTTCAGTAAGTTTAAGAAGTAAAGTTCTCACTATGGAACTCTGAGCAACCGGAAGTTGAACAGGATGGGGTTTTTGATTAGGGAATAATTTTGATCCCTTCCCTGCATTCGGGCAAATGACTTCTTCGTCTCCCTATACTATGCCTGTCCCTGCCAGGGCCCTTGCGGTCAGGAGTACAAGTCCTATGAGCTCCCTGGAACCTAGCCTACCCCAAAGTTTATGTTTTAGGCAAAGAAAAATGACAGTATCATCCTAGGTTCAAATTGAAAGACGTAAGTAGGCCATGCCCGGCCGCTCATGCCTGTACCAGCACTTTGGGAGGCCAAGGTGGGTAGATTACTTGGGCCCAGGAGTCTGAGACAAGCCTGGACAACAGTGCAAAACCCTGTCTCCACTAAAAATTTTAAAAAACAGCCACGTGCCTGTAGTCCCAGCTGCTTGGGAGGCTGAGGTGGGAGGATTGATTAAGCCCAGGAGGTTGAGGCTGCAGCAGTGAGCTGTGATTGCGTCACTGTATTCCAGCCTGCGTGACAGAGAGGGAAGGGAAGGGAAGGCAAGGGAAGGGAGGAAGGGAGAGAGGGAGAGAGGGAGAGAGGGAGAGAGGGAAGGAGAGAGAGAGAAGGAAGGAAGGAAGGAAAGAAGGGAGGGAAGGAGAGAGAAGGAAGGAAAAATAAAAATAAAAACATGAGTATTCAAGCAAAGAACATGGATTTTAAAGACTTCTCACCTGACTAAAGTCTCAAACAGGAAAATACTTACCATAACAGCAGGCTGAAATTTCAAATAAAAACAAAAGGGTAAGGTTTTTTTTTTCATTGTATATTGGAATGAATCAGCCAAAGGTGTGTTCAAATTAATGCCTGTAACCTTGATAAATTACTTACCCTCTCTAATTTTTTGTTTTCTTAACCAAAAAGAACAGGGATGATAATATCTATAGCTAGAGTTGTTCAGCATTTTAATTAAGATATTATATAAGTTTTCTAGCCTCAGTTTCCCCAAATGGAAAATGAGGATAACAATTCTCACTTCACGATTGTTATGGGTATATGATAACGTTTACAAAGTGCTCAGCATGATCCTGGCACATAGTAAATGATTATTTAAGGAGAGTGGCTTTTCTATGTCACTAATGGCAGAAAACATCGTGAGAGTGGTCATAATAGTTGCGGCAGTAGCAGTGGTCATGAAATGTTGGTTTCTACTCCTTCATCTTATAGGGGCCAAATTTGGCAGAGAGCTTAAGTAATCTGTCTATACTTTTATTGAAATCTACTTTGAAATTCCACCAGGTTTCTCACCCAATGGGACGGGATAGGGATATGTCCAGATGTAAGACATTATCATCTAGTGGGGTATGTGTGTGTGTATGTGTATGTGTGTGTGTGTGACAGAGAGAACTTGAGAGAGAAAGAGAGAACTTGAGTATGCTCTTTTATATTATACATGCCACTTCCTAAAGATTCTGATGTATGGCCAGGCACGGTGGCTCACACCTGTAATCCCCGCACTTTGGGAGGCCGAGGTGGGCGGATCACCTGAGGTCAGGAGTTCCAGACCAGCCTGGCCAACATGGAGAAACCCTGTCTCTACTAAAAATACAAAAATTAGCCAGGTGTGGTGGTGTAATCCCACCTGTAATCCCAGCTACTTGGGAGGCTGAGGCAGGAGAATCACTTGAACCTGGGAGGCAGGAGCTGAGATTGCACCATTGTACTCCTGCCTGGGCAACAAGAGCAAGACTCCCTCTCAAAAAATAAAAATACAAAATAAAAAAAGATCCTGATGTATTGTCAACATCCACTCTCTCCCCAGGAATCAACACAGTTAAAAACTACCTGCTGTGCAGAATATAATTGAGTGCTAATAACATTACTGTTGGGCATACATTCATTTACATAAATATGAAGTATATTATTGTCTCCATTTTACCTGATGAGGAGACTGAGAATATGAAAGATTATTTGTCCAAAGTCACCAAACTGTCTGTAGCTAAATTAGGATTTGAACTCAGATTTATCTTCAAAGCCCAGGCCTGGCTCATATGTCTTAGTATACTCGCATAGAGGTGATGTAACATGGAGGTGATAGGGAGAGATGAAAATTACTTTTGCATCAGACCATAATTCTCACAGATTACTCCAGAGAAGCAGATGTGAGCACGCTATACTTTGCTCTAAGGAACAAAGGCCACCTAGAATTCCTAACTGGACTTCTATGCTTTAGACACTGGATTATATCTATCACTTCATTCGATCATCACCAAGTCTGTAAATAGGGGTTATTAACCCATTTCAGAGATCAAGAATGAAAGATTAAATAATTTGCTCAGGGTCACACAGCTAATAAATGACGAGCTAGGATTGAAGCCCAGGTCTTTTTGACTCCATACGTACATATTAAACTTTGCTGGAATCATTTTTACATGCTCTGTTTTACAGACAATCTGGAATATTTGTAAAAGACCAAAATACGTTTTCTGTATCAGAAGATTGGCTCAGATATTGTGTCTGTTAGCTTTCCTTCAATGCCCATTTACTCTCCCTTTTTTTTTTTTTAAGAGGATTTCTGTTTTGTTATTGAACGTATAGCTGCTACAGGGAAAGAAATGAAAATATTGATTCAGATTTTCTTGGGGAGTGAAGGCAGAGGACATTCAGAGTACAGTATCTGCTCTGTTCCCTGGGCTGACAAGCTAAAACTGTGGATGAGAAAAAAGGAACTGTCTAGAAATAGGCTTTGAGGCTTGATTTTGGACGTTTTGTTAAAAGCAACAACAACAAAACTGCTGAAAAGAAAGTCGTCACCAGCATGGACAATACCTATAATTCCCAAACAGAAATAATTTCTATAGCTATTTTAAAACTTTGTCCCAGCTGAAATGTAAATGTCACAGGAAGGAGTCGAGGTTGTTTTGTAGGATCCCTCACAGCAAGGGTATAGTTTTCCCTCATGTCTTTTTTTTTTTTTTTTTTTGAGATAGAGTCTTGCTCTGTCACCAGGCTGGAGTGCAGTGGCGCAATCTCAGCTCATTGCAACCTCCGCCTCCCAGGTTCAAGCGATTCTCAGCCTCCCCAGTAGCTGAGATTACAGGCGCACACCATCATGCCTGGCTAATTTTTATATTTTTAGTAGAGATGGGGTTTCATCATGTTGGCCAGGCTGGTCTCGAACTCCTGACCTCAAATGATCTGCCCACCTCAGCCTCCCAAAGTGCTGGGATTACAGGCATGAGCCACCGCGCCCAGCCAGTTTCCCTCATATCTTTATTCCCCAGCCTCCTATACTCCCTGGCACATAATGAGTGCTTAGTCAACATGACTGAGTGAATTAATGAATGCTTGAATAAACGGACAGGTAGCCGAGAATAAATATATACCGTTATGAAAGCAAATTTTCATAGAAAAAGAGTATAAGGCCTAGGAACCCCCCACCCCCCCAGAAGACAAGAAAAACAAACTCACTCCGTGCTTTTGCCCAGAGCAGGCTTACAGCTGGCTTCGCTTCAGTTTATCCTAGATTTCTCTTAGGACATTGAGGACAGAAAAGATGTTTGTAATCTAAAATGTCAGGGAACAAAGCCAGAGAGTGCAACATGCAGAAGAAAACATATTCAATTAGTTTCTGAATGCTATCCTGTTTTTCTCTTCAAACAGAAAGAAAAACTCTCTCTCTCTTTCTTCTCTCTCTCTCTCTCTTTCTTCTCTCTCTCTCTCTCTCTCTCTGCCCTTCCCCCCCACACTCCCCTTCTCCCTCTCTGTCTTTCCAGTCAAAGAGACTGTAGCTGATGGCATGCCTTAAGTGTCTGCATGTGCCGATCTGATCCGCCCAAGCTAAGTGGCCAAATAGGATACTCCAGGCAATACCCCTGAGCCCCGCTGCAGCTCCGTGAGAAAGACGATGCAGGAATACCTGTGCCTGCGTCGTGTGCCGCCACTAGGGGTCCCCAGCAGCAGGCGATGTGAACTGGGAATTGGGTAGCAGAGGCGGCCTCCCTTTGTCTGCACTCCAGGTGTGGACTCCTCTTTGTTCAGAGGCAGGGCCGCTACCTGCGGCGTCTGAGCTGCCTGCTCACTAAGCCATCCTGGGCCGTCTGTGCACCTCCTAAGGAAACAGCGGGTTTCTCAGCTCCTGCCCCTAGTGACGCCTGCCTCAGAAGAGCCAATGCGTTCTCTTTCTCAGGACTAGGTGTCTTTGTATTTGAAATAAGGCTTAAACTACAGAGCGAAATATTTCTCACTACAGCAAAAGAGCATATTGATGTTGAGAAATTGATGGCAAAAGGACCACTTTCAGGGTATGGTTGAGTATTTGCCATAAAATATTTAAAGCTAGTTGACGAATAGCCCCGCTATTCTCCTGTGAATGCCGACCACTAGATTAATCTTGAAAGTAAGGAATACGGTATTTCATTCCGTGTTTAGCACAGGGAAAGGGAATGACCTTCACTAAGCAACACCCCAGAGTGCCTGCAGTGAGGGAGCACAGCCACACTCACCCTGCAGTGCTTTCTTGTCTGCTTTTAAACTTCAAAAGAATGGTGAAACAAAATAAACAAATTACACCACAGTAAGAGCTACCCTGCAAACAATAAATCATGTGAGTTGTAACAGCCGGTGATGGAGGGTGGGGTGGGGATTGCAAATATTTACTCCATCAAAATTTTATTCTTATGTTTCACCGTTTCAGTCTTTTTTGTTCACAGCAAAGGTAGTATCCTTAAATGACCATCAAGTTCTTTTTTTGCTGCCAATGTGTTACTCAATGTCTTGTAGCTCAGTAGTCACAGCTACTAATGTGGAAAGTACTGGCATACAAGAGAACCATTTACAGATGTCCTTAATTTGCTCATTTATTCAAGAGTAAACTATTGAACAACATCCACTGAGCACCTATTGTATGCAAAGTATGGTAGACAATACAGGGGCTGGGCAAACAAGGATCCTGCTCCCACCATGCTTTTTTTTTTTTTTTTTTTGAGACAGGGCCTCACTCTGTCTCCCAGGCTGGGGTGCAGTGGCATCATCATAGCTCACTGCATCCTTGCACTCCTGGACTCAAGTAATTCTCCCCGCTCAGCCTCCCAAGTAGCTAGGACTACAGGTTTACTACAACGCCTGGCTAATTTATTTTTTATGTTTTTAGAGATGAGGTCTCATGTTGCTCAGGATGGTCTCAAACTCCTGGCCTCAAGGGAAGGGATCCTCCCACCTCAACTTACTGAGTCACTGGGATTATAGGCATGAGCCACCATGCCAAGTCCACTATTAATGGACTAAGGAAATGAAATATATACCAAAAGTACCATTAAAATGAGAGCACGAGATCTGCACATTGAGAGGTACAGTAGATGGGCTAGAGAAATCTAACAGAAGAAGAGCTATTTTCTGCCTTGGGAATTAGGGAAGACTTTCCAGAGAAGGTGCATTCTAGTTGAACTCTTTTAGTATGGGAAGCATACTAAAAGGATGGGAAGCAGGAAGGAATGGCAGAATCCAGTGCTGCTAGCCCCAAGGGCATAGGCCACTGTGAAAGAGGGTTGCATTTGTGAAAGGGGGGAACAGAGATTAGATTGGAATGGTAAGTTTGGAAGGCTTTGAATGCCAGATGAAAGCTAAGTTAAAACAAAACGATACTTTCTATTCTTAAGAAGACCACATTATCCACAAGACTCCTTTTATCCCATAAGTCTTTTAATATTCGGAGACAAAAGGTGGAAATGTCTTTAAAAATTCTACTTTCCAAACACCTAAGATTTCTCCTTTCCACTGGCAAATAGGTATTACCTAGAATTAAGGCAATACATAAATGAATAAAATAGATGATAACTTTTTCATTGTTTCATTTGGAGAAATACTTTAGAAGGTCCACAAACAGGTGCCTGAGCCTACCAAAGAGGGACATTAGCATTTTATTTCCAGCATGTCCTGATAACTTACTGATACTAGACATTTTTGCAAGGAGCAGCCAGCCTTTAGGCTCCCGAATCTAAGAAGGATGATAGTGAATTATTATTCATATTGAGTTTTCTCCATTGGTTATGGCTTTATCAATCCAGATGATCAATCAACTTTCAGATTTTAGTTCTGAACCTGGAGCTTTCTGTTTGGTGTTCAAAATAATGGATGTCAAAGTAATAGCTCATCTCCTACCGACAGACTGGACCTCCCCGATCAGCACATCTCTGTTCAGCAAGCATGTTTGTCGGCCTTGTATCCCTCTTCTGGCCCCAGGATCCAGGAAAACATGAGTCTCAGCTTTTTTCTACTTCTGTACAGCACAGGGTGGCCTTCAGGTGGTGCCTTCACAGCAAATACTCCCCTGTCCCTTCGTCTGTCAATTTAGGACAATAAAAATAATCTGCCTCACAGAGTCATGCTTTACTTTCTCCAGTTAAAACTCTATGAAGGCAAATATGAGTATCCAAACTGCAGAAACAGAATCTGTTGTCCTTTTGTGAAATTTCGAGATGAATAATGAAACCTGCTACCCTATTGCACAATTTGGGACAAGAAATATAAGCTATAGGTTGAAGATAAGACATTTCCCCCTAGTAGAACAGGTCACAGTTGATTAGTTATCTCCAGATGCAATGAAGAAAGCAAAAATTGTTCAAACTATACATTCCTTCCTTAAAGTGAGCAACTTACAATCACTTTGGAACACAAACGTCATGCCAGGTACACTGCAGCTTTCCACATAGCGTCTTATTTAATCTTCACAGCATCCTGTGTTATCAGATTTTTGAGGAAGGTGAAGAAACTGAGGCTCAGTAGGTCTAAGTAATTTGCTCAAGGTTGCAGCTAAGTAACAGAGCCAGAGTTTGAACCCAGTTGTCTTCGAAGCCCAGATGGTAACAATTCGACCAGGCAACATAGCCAAGTCAGATAGTCCACCATCTAAAGACCTGGAGGGATACATAAATTACTAGTCAAACAAGTAAGTGCTGTTTTCTACTAGAAGAACTCTGGGGAAACAGTAAGTTCCTTCTGATCTAATCCACAAGCCAAGTGTGTGATGGGTCACGTGTCCCTGAAGCCTCCAGATTAGGAAATGCATGATTTCATGCAGTCCACAAAATAAAGAAGGATAGTGGTAGGGGGCTGGGAAAGCGGGGGTGCTTGGGTCTCCTTAGACCAGCCAGGGCTGTTTCAAGGTCCATACAGTTGAGGGTCAGGAAGACACAGTCCGACATGACTGAAGAGTGCTGACACGCCTTTAACAGTTTAGCAAGCTGTATTTTTAAAAAATGGACCTTAATGGGAAGACACACTGGGATAGCATCCTGGAGGGATTTTTTTTTTTTTTTAAGTTCTAATCAACTAGAAAATGTGACGTGGGTGCGTACTGTGATTATTTAACATTCATTATTCACTGTATGTTAGGTGCTTGGTTGATGTGAATCCCCAGGGCCTAGCTGCTGTTCTGTGTCACTCCTGATAATTTTTAAATTGACTATGTTCTTTTAACCATGTTTTAAAAAGTTGAACTACCCCAATGTGAACACTTTCCATTTTTGCTATATAATGAGAGTATTTTCATTCCTTTAATGCTTGCTTTTCCCTTTGATCTAACAATTTCTCTTCAAATTTCACAGTTTTCTGTTGCTTTAGGATTGAAAGAACAGATTAGCCCGCTGGGAGCGTGAAACAGATTTAAAAAAAATCTGCATGATATTTCCTCCCAGTGAAATTAATTTAGGTTTAAATACAGGGGGAAGGGGCACACCTTGTCCTCGAGTCTCTTTCTGTCACACACCTGAGCATTTCCTATCCTGAAAGGGCACAGTCGGACTTGCTGCTAAGTCAAGTCTTTTGTGAGAATCTTTTTTGCAAGGCACAGTAGGAGAACCTTTTTCTCTTTGACACCCGGCTTTGTGTGGGCCTGATGACACGTTTGGACGGCTCTATTTCTTTGAAGGCCAACCTCAGAGGCCCATGGACGCGTCGGGCGCTGTCCGTGGCTGGGTTACTTAAGTGTAGCTGGGTTGGCTTCCCGGGTGTTTTAGGAAACGCACCTTCTTGCAGGGCAGGGGCCGTCAGTTCCAGAGCAACAAAGGATAATTTGGAGGGGAGTGGAAGGAGCGCTCCACAGTGGCTCTGTCATCCCAGGTTCCCTTCTGCCTAGCACCGTGGCCCTAGTGATCCCGCCTTCGCCCTCTGGATCCCCCACCCCCACTGTCTCGCTGCTCCAGAGCCCAGCGGGGCGCGGCGAGCCCCACCACCTTCCCCCACACCCTCCCTCCCCATCCCCTTCAAACCCTACGAGCAGCGCTGCGCGCCGCAGCCGCGCTCGCCCCGCGCCCCGCGCCGGCCTCCCCAGCACCCCGGGGACCCGGTCCCCGGTCTCGCCTCCCCGTGTCCAGCAGTTCACAGCCTCCCCCTCCAGCCCCACTGGCGGGAGCTGTCAAGCCCGCGGTAGCCGAACCAGCCCCCGTGCGCCCGCGTCTCCTCTCCTTCCTTTGTGTGTGCGCGAGCGGAGTTGGGGCGGAGGGAGAGGGGGAGGTCGCTCTGTCTGTCCGTCTCCCGCCGCCTCTGCCCGGGCTACTCGAAGTGCGGCCGGAGAGGCGGGAGCCCAGGAGAGGGTGCGGGAGCTGGCGGGGCGGCTCGGGGCCGCCGGGACGCCCTGGTCCTAGTCGCGCACAGGGTAGCGCGGCCGGCAGAGGGGCTCGGCGGGAGCCGAGATCCGCCCGTCCCGGCCGCCCCTCGGCCTCCCTCTGTTCCCACCTACCCCCTGACACCCGGAGAAAAGCGTGCAAACGCGCGGAGCGGGACGGAAACCACAAATAAATAGCGGCGGCGGCAGCGCGTCATCTGGTGGAGCAGGAAGTGCAGGCAGAGTCCGGAGGCTGGTGCTTTCTGCGCGTCCCCAGGACTTTGCCATGGGCTGGGGGCCGCGGAGGCTGCGAGCGGCCGGGCGAGGGCAGCGGCTGCGGCGCCCGCACCGGGGCTGAGCGAGCAGCGACGCGAGGGGCGCGCGGAGATGGCAGCGTCCAGCAACTCCAGCCTGTCCGGCTCTTCGGTGTCCTCCGGTGAGTTTCAGCCCGTCGGGCGCGGCTGCCGCGCCGGGTCTCGCCCCCTGCCCTCGCTCCGCACCCTGGGATGGACAGAGCCTACCTGTGGCCGTCCCGCCCGCTCTCTTGGAGTGGGGGCAGGCGTCTGGGGTGACACTTGTTTGGTTCGCTAGCACCTCGGTGCCCAGAGCACCTCCGCGCCTGACATCTGACAGCGCAGAGGTGGGAGAGCGGTGGTGCCCTTAGTGTGCGGACGCGGGTGTTCTCGGGCTTGGGGTGCAGCGGGCGAAAAGCGAAAGGAGCGGGCAGGCTCGCACTTTCTGGCGCAGCTGGAGCGGGGGCTGGCGGGGCGGAGAAGGTTGGGGTCAAGCTGAGCGCCCCGACCTGTTTGCCGTGCCTGGTCCGCTACCCTGGACACCCAAATCCGGAGCAGAGGGGAGCAAACCCTCGTTCCTCGCAGACTTGATTTTCTTTGTTTGTTTCAGAAATTAGCTCTGTGGAGACACTCGCTTGGGCATGGGTTTGAGACAGCAGCGATGAAGGGATGTGTCTTTCTGATCCTGATTGAAGTGGGTTAGGGGAAGGGAGGTCGAGCCCAGCCTCTGACTCTTGGCATATTTACAAGTTGTGTGTGTGTGTGTGTGTGTGTGTGTGTGTGTGTGTGTGAGAGAGAGAGAGAGAGAGAGAGAGAGAGAGAGAGAGAGAGAGAGAGACTCCTTAGACATTTTCTAATAATACTGTCTGTAATTTCACCAGCAAGGCATACATTTTTTTATTCCTTTTAAGTAAGGTTGAGCAAAGGGAAGGCTTCTTTCAGCTTTTCTATGGTTGATCCTCGGGTCTAATTGAAGAGAAAAAAATTGCTAATGAATCTGAAGGAGTAGGAATCAATAGAAGCAGACCCACTGGTTTCTGAGTATGACAGGTTTCTAATCAGAATGATGCATTAGATAGAATTCCTCTACCTCTCTGGTCATTGAAAACTTTAATGACAAACCCAAAAGGACAGCTGATAAGACATTTAGTGTAGTATACGGTATTTAAGGGTCAAGAAGGTCATGAAGTCCTAATGGAAGTGTTCAATATATTAATATTGTATTAAGTCCCATTGGGCTGTTTTTATTATTATTCACAAATTAAACTCAAAGGAATAAACACCTTTTTGGAGGCATTGGAGAGCAAGCAGGGCATAAAGGCAACCACAGCTTTCGATGTGTAACTCACTAAATCATAAATGCAAGGTGAATTTGACTAAGGTGCAATTGTGATGTGGTACAAGGTGATCACTTGAAAGCCATCTGTTATCTTTCTTGGCAGGTTTAGTTCCTGGGAAATGGCACTTCCTTTCTCGATCACTGCCAACTAATCAAAAACACGTCGTTGTTAGGTGTGTGACATAGTTCAAGTTTCTAGTAGTAGCAGCCAATGAGGCAGAAGTCATATCTTATTAAGAGCAGCAACAAGTTGACCGCCGTGGTTTTAATTCTGAGAACTCAGCAAATGCTACAGTTTATTTTTAGTACCCTCAAACCACTGCTGCTGTTTTTTCAATTCATTTTGGTTGACTAACATTGAATTGAAAATACAGTGGTGTTGGCTTTCTATTAGCATATGGTTATTCCTCTCAGAAAACTGCCCACTAGAAAATGAACTGGTGGGGCAAAAGAAAAGACGAAAGGAGAAAGGACAAGGAGGTGGTGGTGTCACATGATTTACTGGGGGCATGAATTACAGCTGCTGTGGCATCTGAATTTCCAGATCTTGATGTAGCTTAAGAAGCCTGATTGAAAATCCTAACAGCCTTCGGAAGAATACATTGGTTTGAAACAACACAGTATGAGATTTAGATGATGTTAATTGCTTTCAGATAGGATAGAGATGCCCATGATGGTTCTTTTTCCTGCTTTATTTACCCGTATTTTTAATCCTAAGGGAAACTGGGAAATTATGTAAAAACTGAAATTCAAAAAGTGGGCATGGATGTATTGTTTGGCATGAATCAACCTAGCCCATGAGTTTATACTGCCTAATTCCCCAATTAATCAGGCACTTTGTCTTGAAAAATACAGCATTGTAGTTCTCTTTTTAAGCACACTTACCATTGTGTGGATCATGAATAATTCAGATGACACAAGCAATTCACACCTGTGAGAGGTGTTGGGCAGAAAGAATAGAGCCTATTTGTGGTGGCAGCTGGGCTCTCTCAGGCGAAGGCCAGAACCTGAGAAATTAGGGCACTCCATCAGTCTATTAATCACTATTTTCAAGGGCCTACTATGTGCCAGGCAGTAAGTTACAAACCTCAGCTTCAAGAAGGCTAAGGGGGAAAGATAATTATAGGCTTCCTTCTGGCTCTGAAGTTCTGGGAGTATTGTCTTTTAATTCTGGCTTCATCACCAACCAGCCAGGTATCTTGAAGTGCGTTACTTAACTTCTCCAAGCCTCAATTTCCTCATTTGTAAATGAGGCTGATACTGATGATAAGACCTACTTCATAGAGTGTCTTGGGGATTGAATGACATAATGTATGTAGAGTATTTAGCACAGGGCCTAGCATTTAATAAATGCTTAATGTGAATAAATTTTACTTCTTCGAGGAATGAAAAAGAAGGCATTCATGGGCTCAGAATTTAGGTGCAGACATGAATCCAACACACATACAATCCACTTCTTTCATCACATGTTAAATTTGATCTTGAATTTTGGGCTTCATTAAATAAACATGCGAGTGTCTTTCAGGTTTCAGGCATAGTCCCGAGTGTTTGGCATGGAAGGATGAGTCAAGATCCTTTTCCCTTATGATCCAGCAGCCGAGACAAACATGCAAATAGCAACCTCTACTCCAGTTTGATAAAACAAATTCTGTGGAGGAGGGTGCAGAGGAGGGGGATTGACTTAGTCAAATTAGAGGGGTCAGTGGGAATGTCATACGAGTTGGGCCTTGAAAGCTGAGTCGAATTTTTCCAGAAAACAGATGGAGAAAAAGACATTTCAGGAAGAGAGAAGAACTTAGGCAAAGGCCTGGAGATGGGTAAGTTCATGGCCTTATTTTGACTTTCTTTCTTGGGGCCGTTGATCCTTTTGCACTTGGGAAAGTTATGCTTACAGGCCCATAGGCAGCATCGTGCACAGAGCTGCCAGCTCACTCATTGCTGCTGCTGATGTAGGAGGTTTTCTTTCTGTTCAGGTAGCAGTGGGTTTGATGGAACAGCTCTGGAAGCCGTAGGACATTTGGGCAATTGAGCACTGAAAAAGGAACAGTTGATTCTGTAGTGTCCAGCATAGACAGAGGTGAAGTCAACATGGGTTATACCTCTCATAGAGGAATAGCAGCGGGAGATTTAAGTATGTTTGTGTTTGCAGAGTTAAGATCTAATAATTTGCTCAGCATTAGGTCAAAGTTACCTGATTTTCCTGAGAATTTGCTCTCACTAGCTGCTGTTGAGCTACGTCACCCAAATGTGTCATTTATTTTACGGTACCAACTGAGACATAACAAATGAAATAATCAGGTTACAATTAATTTTAAAATACATTTTCTGAGAACTCTTCACGAATTTTCTTCTGGAATATTCAATTATGTGTAAAAGAAATTGCTTTACCTTTGTTTTAATGATAACCACTGGTAATTAAATTTCACAATCACCTGGATTGGCAGGAAGCTTTGATTACCTTTATTATTTTAAATTGCAAAAAAGAAAAGTTCTTATCCTTAAGCTTCTAATTTAGCCTGTGGTACTTTATTATATTCTGAAATAAACAACAGCCAATTTGCAAAACAGTCTTCTTAATAATCATGGGTTACGTTTGCTTTTATAATTGAAATAAGAACTTTTTGCATATTAGCAATATGATTGCCAAATGGATAATTTCACAGTCAAGAAAAAAATCAACCCAAGCAAGTCAATAAATAAAGAAGATATGAGATGTTCTCAGTAACTGAAAAAGGTAAAACATTAAATATTAAAGGAACCCCAAGGATAAGAAGTTAAGATCTGGAAACATAAACACACTGTATTATCAAAATAAAATTGACACAGACTTTTAAAATTAAAATGCAAACAGAAAAAGGTAAAAAGTCAGTATTAGGTGCAGTCCTCAAAACCTTAATTGGGAAAAGAACATTCCTGAATGGATTGAGGTATTCATTTCTTTAGATTCTATACAACAGTAATGTGGGCCAGGTAAATCATGCTGTTTTCTGCTGTCACACTGGTGTTGATGTAGAAACAATAAATAGGAATTTTCATTACTCATTATTGGGGATTCATAACCAGTAACATAGGTAAGTCTTCCGTATTCCTAGATGCAGACGGCAAAACTGAACTATAGTAATTCTGGGAAGACTTATGTATGTCTAACTAGAAATTCTCTGCATCCAATACTACAAAACAGGGTATTTTATTGAAACAGACATTCTCACTGAGAAGTTTTCTTTTGGACTTTTGGATTTTTCAGAAATTTTCTTCTGGAATATTCAATTATGTGTAAAAAATTGCTTTGCATTGTTTTAATGATAACTGCTCAATAATTAAATTTCACATCGCCTAGATTGGCAGAAAGACTTGATTGCCTTTTTTATTTTAAATCACACATGCACAAATTCCGATTTAAAATATGATCTCAAATAAAACACTTGCAAAGCTAAAATTAACTCTGTGAGAGAAATTATTCACTCAGATGAGGAGTACTAGTCCTTGTTGTTTTTCTCCTGAGCATTCCACACCTCATTTTAACTTACTAGATTTTATTTTCCACTGTAGCAACTCAGATGAACCGAGTGATAGAGTCTGAGAGGTAAGGAGATTTTTCTTAGCATGCTACATATTTGCAGTGTTTGACAAGGGGGACCCAACGATTTGTGAACTTGTGCTGAAACGCTGGTTCTCCCCACTAATGCCATGAAGTGCACTGGGTGACCCTGTCATTTGCCTAACTTTTGGGGGAATGTGAACACCAGGTATTTTCCATGGCCAGTCTGTGCAGGGTTTAGCTGGACAGTATGTTCTGAGAGCTGC